TTTTCATCTTCTTTCTTTCTTTTTCTTTCTTCTTTCTTTCCTTCCTTCCTTCCTTCCTTTCTTTTTGCCCTTCTCTGCTTTTATTATTTTATAAGATTCTATTTTTTCTCATGTTAGAATGGAATTATACTTTTTATTTTTATTTTTAAAGATTTGAGAGAGGGTGTGTGTGTGCATGAGCGGGGGAGTGGCAGAGGGAAAGAGAGAGCCCTCAAGCTGACTGCCTTGCAAACAGAGAGCCTGACAGGAGGCTCAGTCCCACCAAGATCATGACCTGAGCAGAAATAAAGTCAGATGCTCAGCCAACTGAGTCGCCAGGGGCCACAAAAATTATATTTCTTAAAAATGTTTTAGGAGTCTCTATAGGATTCCCAGTATATAAGCAGGTTCAGTCTACTTTCAAATAACACAATACCACTTCATGGGTAGTGAAGGTACCTTGTAAGAAATTATTCTCAATTCCTCCTTCCTCTTTTATAAGATTTCTCTCATCTATTTCACTATCCATAGACTTTAAACACTTAACATCTTATCACCATTATTATTTTGAACACAAGTCTTCAATTATACCAATTAAAAATAAAAAATGAAATATTATCCCTTCATTTAGTCATTCTCTGGTATTGTTTCTTTAGGCAAACTCAAATTTCTGACCCATATCATTTTTCTTTTTTCTGAAGAACTCCTTTAAACATTTCTTGCAAAGTTACTTGCAAAGCATGTTTCTTTGTTCCTTTAGGTGGATTCAAATTTCTGACTCATACCATCTTTCTTTTTTCTGAAGAACTTCCTGGCAAAGCATGTTTACAATTCATGTGGGGTTTTTTTTTGTTTTGTTTTGTTTTTGTTTATCTGAGAATATATTTATTTTGCTATTTTTGAAGGACAATTTCATTGCACATAGCATTCTAGGTTAATGATTTTTTTTTCAGTCCTTTAAATATTTCATTTCACTGTCTTCTTTTTTGTATGGTTTGTAAGATTAGTCTGAGTTAAATAATCCTCAGTCCTCTATCAGTGAGGTTTTGTTTCTTCTGGCTTCTTTCAGGATTTTGTCATTGTTTCCTGATTCTACAGGTTAAATATAAAATGCCTAGTTGTAATTTTTTTTTTTTCCCTTCATGGTGTTCTCTGAGCTTCCTGGATCAGTAGTTTAGTGTTTGTTAATTCTGGACAATTCTCAGCCATTATTACTCCCTTCTTCTGTTCCTCTCTTGTCCTTCTCTTTCTGGTGTTTGTTTTGTTATTGGTTTTACCTTTGTAATTGCTGCAGTTCTTGGACTATTCATTTCTGTTCATTCTGTTCATTTGGGTTTGTTTTTTTTTTTTTCATCTTTTTCTCTGTATTTTTCGGTTTAAGAAGTTTCTATTGACATATCTCCACAGTCACTGATACTTTCCTCAGTTTTCTCCAATCTCCTGATGGGCCCATGAAAGGGTTTCTTCATTTCTCTTATGGTTTTTGCTTTCTGAAATTTACCTCTGATTTTTTCTTGAATTTCTATCTCTCTTATTATCTATTTTTGCTTTCATGTTGCCCACTTTTTCCCATTAGAACCCTTGGCATATTAATAATAGTTATTTTATGTTCCCAGTCCGATCATTCCCAAACCTGTGCCATACCTGAGTCTGGGTCTGATGCATGTTGTGCTTTTTCAGTTTGCATGTTTTCTTGCCCTTAGAATACCTTGTAATGTGTTTGTTAAAAGTCAGGCATTATGCATCATGTTAACAAAAACAGAGGTAAATTGGTCTTTTAATAAGAGGTTTGTATGTTTCTCTGTCTAGGAGTTAGGCTTTGTTTAAAGCTTGCTGTAGCGAGGTGGCAAAGGCCTTGGTTTCCCATGGTATCCTCATTCTGTCTTCCTAGTTGTCTTTGCGTTTCCCTAGAATCTTTTTATGAAACAGAGTGAGCCTTCCAGCTCTCTCAGTTGTGCTTCTCTGTTATAATATTGGGGATCTACTGGTGTGGCGGTAAGATATTGCTAAGGGAAAGTGCTCTATAATCTTACATTTAAATCTTGGATTTTGGGGGCACCTGGGTGGCTCAGTAGGTTAAGTCTCTGCCTTCAGCTCAGGTCATGGTCTCAGGTCCTGGGATCGAGCCCAGCATGGGGCTCTCTGTTCAGCGGGGAGCCTGCATCCCCCTCTCTCTCTGCCTGCCTCTCTGCTACTTGTGATCTCTCTGTCAAATAAATAAGTAAAATAAAATAAAATCTTGGATTTTGTGTCTCTTTCCACCCCAGTGTGCCTGGGTCTCTAAGCTGTGACCTTCAGTTTTTCTTAGCCCTTTTTCTCCTTTCCCTTATGCTAGACAGGAAGGTTAGAGAAGGATTGACTTGTCTGATTACCCTCCTTTTTAAAGTTTGGCAGGGGAAACTCTGGTAAAGTAGTTTCCTACAGGGTAAGGCTTCTGTTACAGACAGTAGACTTCTCTTGGGCATATTTCAAATGGTTATTTTCCCTCTTCTCCTGCCCAAACACAAGAGGATTTTCTTTCAGTTTCCACTCTGAGAACCTGGCAGAGCACCTGGATGTTTAGAGTCATGAGAGTGTGTGGGGTCCTCCTACCACCGAGTCCCCAGTAGATTTTAACTCTCAAGTTACTCCATGTTCTACCTCCTGCAAATGATTAAGTGTTGTTTAATATTCAGTTCCAATGGCTTCTGCTCCTAGCAAACTATAACTCTCCCTATTTGCCTATCTCTCCACTTTGGGCCACAGCAGTTTGCCCAGTCTGTCCTCTACTGTTGATTTTATTTGTTTGATTTTTTATTTTATTTGTTGTTTTATCCTTATTGTGAGGATGGGAGTGATGACTTACAAGCTCTTTACATACTGGAGTAGAAACTGTAAGTCCTCTTGTTCTTTATTGTTTTTCACAACACTTACTAATATAAAAACAATCTTAGTGTGCAGACCATACGAAGACAGGAAATATAGATATAGATATCTAAACTATATGTATATATACTTACTTTTCTACTTCAAGCTGACATTTTGCCACGATACTTAAAATGTATAAGTGTTATAAGAGGTCCTTTTCTTCTCTCCCTTTATAGTTGTCAGATGTATGACATCTACAACCTTTGAAAAACTACACCAGACAATGTTATACGTCTCTTTCAGTAGTTATATATATTTTAAACATAAGATGAAAAGTTAGTCTACTTACTAGTATATTTATCACTTGTTTTATTCTTCCTCTATCCTCCAGGTTCTCCTCTAGGATTATTTTGTTTCAGACTGAAAAAATACCTAATAATTTCTTTTAGAGCTAATAACAAATTTTATGAGTTATCCTTCACCTGAGAATATCTTTACTTCATTTTCATTCTTGAAGGCTCTTTTCACTGGATAATGATTTATAAGTCAATGTTTATTTTGGGGGGCGGGGAGTTGTCTTTCAGCATTCTAAAGCTACTGTTTTACTCTCTTCTGAGCCCAAGGTTTCTGAAGAGATATTCATAGTCATTTGTATTATTGCTTATATCAATATTGGTTTTTTTAATCCATTTGTCTATTTTTTTAATTTTATTTTTTCCGTGTTCCAAGATTCATTGTTTATGCACCACACCCAGTGCTCCATGCAATATGTGCCCTCCTTAATACCCACCACCAGGCTCACCTAACCCCACCTCCCCTCCAAAACCCTCAGTGTGTTTCTTAATATTGTTTTAACATTCTTATTTGATAATGATGATCTCTGGATCCCCTGTGGTCTGTCCTATTGTCTGTTTTGTCTGATAGTTTTGGGTATTATCTTTTTTTTTAGAGTGTTGGTTTTTTCTGCAGCTAGTTAAAGAGTGCTAGATGACCAAATTAATCCAATTAGAGACCAAATTAACTTCTGGATAGGCTATAGTACTTCTGGAAGGCCCTTACTCTCGGGTCTTAGCCTTACAGAGATATCAGAGAACAAGTAGTATTCATCACAGTGCCTCTTCCCAGTGTATGCTAAACTCACTCTCATCTACAGAGTATCACAGTACTGCTAGATTTTTCCTCTACTTTTTCTAAGATTCCTGCTTGATTTCAGCCTCTTACATTCATAATTCCACACATGTACTGAGTGAAAACCCAACAGTGTGTTGTGTCATTTGTCTCTCTCTCTCTCTCCTCTCTGATATCCTGCTCTATTTTTGTGTCTCTAAGTTGATGCATCTGTCACAAATGTGTGCTGATTTCTTGTCATCTAACAAGATGCTTTTTGCCCAGACCTTTGCCCAAATTTTCAGCTTCTTCTCAATGTTGAGAGTTAGCAAATACCTCTAAAGTATCCAAATGCAAGAAGTTGCTTCTCTTCTTAAGGGTCTGCCTTAGTCCAAAATTTTGGCCTTTGAATTTCTATTTGCCTAAACAATTCTCTGATATCTTGAGACAAATCTTTTAAACTTGATTCAGTTTTGTATAGTTGTTCTCCGTGGGAGCATTGGTCTGCCACAAATTACTCCATTGTGGGGAGCAATGAAACTCTTCATTTATTTATTTTTTTTTTACTTATTTTACTTGCTCTGTCCTTAGGTTTTCTATTCAAATTCTGTTCTGCTGTGTTTAATATCAACCTCTGCCCAGTTCTTTGAATTTTTGGTTAAAGGAGATATTACTTACACATACTTTCAGCTGTACTTCAGTTCTATTCTTTGGTATCTATAAAAAGGCGGATCTACCAATTCAGGAACACAAGGTAAGGCTTTGTACAGATAGTATTGTCTTTTAGTTGTTAGCCACTTAAATACAGAATATTACTTCTTGGTTCTGAATCATTTCAATGCCTTTTTTTTCTTTAGTGCTTTATGCATAAACAGCCGTGTCACAAGCTACCATCATGATATTTTTGCCCTTAATATGAAAGGTAAAAGTGTGCTTCATATTTATTTTACATGTTGAATAATTCTAAGAATGGCATAAACTTACAGGGTTACTAGATAATTACTAATTAACTGAAAAATACATTGTTGATTTGAATGTAAATATCCAATCTGCAAAATAATATTTACCCGGAATAATCTTCATTGATCCCAGCAAGCGGTACTGGAGCACAGTTTATAAAAATTACAAACCCAAAGAACATAAGTGATACAGCAGATGTAACCATTATAAATCTCATAAGGGCTTTACAAGACATGTGTAACGTGGAAACAATGATACCTCCCAGAAGCTCGCCAAGTCCACCTGCTGGAAGTAAAACAAATCCTAAAAGAAAGGAGGAGGAAAAGAAAACAGTTTAAAAAAAAATAGCTGATGATAGTACAGAACATTCATACATTGATACAATCCCCCTGCTCTAAACATACATCAAATATAGATTGAAATAAAAAGACAATGAAAACTTAAAGGCATGATAAACATCTCAACAAACCTGAATCTTAAGAGAAGTACAAATTTGGGAGTAGGGCTAAACCTACAGACCTAGTGGAATGATGGAGAAATTTTGTTCCTATGTGGTAACAGCATCTAAGGTAAACCCAGAACTTAATCCACGTAAAACAGAAGATGAGAACTGTCTTATTCAGAGCTATTATTGGATAGTTGTCTGGATTTATACTTTACAGCAAGAGACATGCCCATGACAAGAGTTCAGTAACAGAAACTTACTACCAGAAATTTATCTAAGCCACCCACTGATTCTATGAATGGGTGTGCAATATTAACAATCTTACAACAAACTGAGATTTCAGAATAGTCACTATGAGAAATAGTTTTCTTTTCAATCAAGCATAAAGGATTAAATAGAGGCAAACAGGAGGAGGAAAAGAAAGAGGGAGAAGAAGACATATAATTAGAAGATAGTCATATAAAAGTAGCACAGTAAATGCAAACATTGCTGTGATTTCCTTTGCTCCAAACATAAAGAAGTGGTAGATTTAGATAAGAATATAGCAAGAGAAATATAAGGGAAAAAAAAAAAAAGTTCCACCAACATCGGATTAAATTTATTATCTTTGAAGGTCTGTGGGAGACTTGTAAGTAATTTTAGAATGTTCAAAAAGATAAATGAAAGTTTAACTTCCATAAAAAGAAGAAATAAAATAAAAAGATAAAGGAATGAAATCAGAGCAGATGAATAAAAAATAATAAACCTGGATATTTAAAACTTTTAATTCCTAAAATAAAAACTAAAATCCCAGACCAGAGACATTTGAAAAGTTAATAAATTGGAAGAGAACATTGTATAATTCATGCACTATGTAATATTTAAAAAAAAGGAAGAGTGAAAGGAGAATAACCAAGATAAGTAGTTAAAGGACAATGAGTACAGTAGAGAAATATGATAAACATTACCCAGTTGAACAAGGTCAAATTCAAAAGTAGTAAACCATGTTAACAGTATGCACCCTTGATATGATTTGATGAAAACGTCACTTTACTTCTGTGATCCTCCCTCTAAAACCCATAACTCCTGTCTAATCACAGATGGAAAAAAATCAGTCAATTCCCAGTTAAGGAACATTCTAAAAAATACCTGACCAGCACTCCTCAAAACTGTCAAGATCATAAAAAACAGTGGAAGACTTAGAACCTGCCAAACCCAACAGAAACCTAAGAGATATGATAACTAAATATGATGTATCCTGAATGAAATCTTGGGATAGAAAAAAGGACATTGTGTAAAAGCAAAGGAAATAAAAATGAGATACTGACTTCAGTTAGTATTGACATTGGCTCATTAATTATAACAAAACTACTATACTAATGTAAGATGTTAATAAAAAGGGAAATGAGGTGTGCAGTGTATGAGAGCTGTCTGTACTACCTCCAAATTTTTTTTTGTAAGTTTAATAAGAAAGTAACTTTAAAAAAAAAAAAGACAACAGGGTAAGAGGCACTACAAAATGCTTTACTGCACTTGTGAGAAGTATAATGGAATAAATTCTGGGGAATTATTTCCCCAGAAATAATACATGAACAATTGAAATTGAGAATAAGAAATTTCCACCATTAGAAAAAGATATTAGTTCTGGGAATAAAAGAACACTCCAACTACTGAGAACGATTAAGAGTAAATAATTGAATCTATCCTAAGGTATACAGAAGTAAGGTAAGAAAACTTCATATCATCAAGAATAAAGAGAAATTGTAAAAATCTGCCAAACAGCATGTTACTTGCAAAAGAATAATTATACCTAATTCATAAATGATAAAATTATCTAGACATGATATGAGCATATGCACTCACTCTTGAAGAATGGGGCTAGTTAACTATCTCAGTGGGTAGTTAAAACCTCCTGAACTAGACTAGACATGAACACATGCACTCACTCTTGAAGAGTGGGGCTAGTGAACTACCAGTGGATTGTTAAAATCTCCTGAACAAAACAAAAGGGATAAAATGAAAAAAAGAAATGAGTCTATTGAGAGAGAACAAGATAATGGGGGGGAAAGAAGCAGATTGAAAGGTAATAAACAAAGAAATGTAAGTAAGACGTTAAAAGTTACTTAAAAATGTCAGAATCTAGGGATGCCTGAGTGGCTCAGTGGGTTAAGCCACTGCCTTCGGCTCAGGTCATGATCTCAGGGTCCTGGGATCGAGCCCCACACTGGGCTCCCTCTCTGCCTACTTGTGATCTCTCTCTCTTTCAAATAAATAAATAAAATCTTAAAAAAAAAAAAAAGCCAGAATACCCAATAATGGTAAATGGATAAAGCTTAACTATTAAAAAGACAGATAATTAAATTGGGTATTTTTAAAGGAAAGTCTGAAAATAAAATATTAAAAAAATATGCCATGAAATGTAGTTCATAAACCTATATATATTTAACATTGCATAAAATAAATTTTGTTAAAATTGCCCAGAAAATTAAAAATCCATAAGCAAAGTATTTTGACTCAGCTTTCTCATAAACAAAGACTCGGCTTACAACATTACTAAAGATATGGAAACTATTATTCGATGTGAATAGTTATTTAAAAAGAAAAGCAAACCATATATTTAAAAACTAAAAATCTCTTCTCAATAAGACATGACTTAAGGGGCACCTGAGTGGCTCAGTGGGTTAAGCCTCTGCCTTCAGCTCAGGTCATGATCTCAGGGTCCTGGGATCGAGACCCGCATTGGGCTCTCTGCTCAGCAGGGAGCCTGCTTCCCCCTCTCTCTCTGCCTGCCTCTCTGCCTATTTGTGATCTCTCTCTCTCTCTCTGTCAAATAAAAAAAAAAAAATAAAATCTTAACAAAAACAAAAAAACAAACCAAAAAAAGTAAGACGTGACTTAAATAAAAATATGAGAATCATAATTTTAAAAATACTTAGGACAGAAAAATAATGAAAATTACACTTAAATGTATGAGATACTATTAAGGAAAATCTATAAATAATTATATCACCATGATAAGGTTGTTAGGGGAATTACATGAGCCCATATTTAATCGCTTAGAAAAGTGTTCAGGCACAAAGTAAACATATGAATGTTTGATAAAAGGTGGACATTCACAAATAAATTCATTAGAAAGCAAAAAAAAAAAAAAAAAAACTACAAATAAATAGAGGAGGGGCAATATTTATCAAGAAAATTGTGAGAAATGGAACTGAATCAGGAGACTTCAAAGGGTGAGAAGTAAGCCTGAAAGTAAGGAAGTCAAAAAGAGGCAAGCTGCATTTTACCCCAGAATCTCAGAAATGAAGGGCAATAGGTACTACCACAAGCAGGAATGAGATAAAGGAAAAACAAGGGGAACAGATGGCAGTCTATATAAAATGTTTGAGCTCCAAGTCCTATCCCCATCCCCAAGCCATATAACTAACCCAGGAAAAGGCCCTTGGTTTATTCAGCTTGAACCCAACAACTACAGATTTGGGAAAACCACAAACATTTGTGAGCACAAAACTGAGAACTCCACTCAGCTAGGAAAACATTGCCTGTCAGGCTATTGCCCTAGGTGATAAGAAAATACTGGGCACAGGGAGTTCAACAATTAAATGGCTAGCTCTTTAAAGCCCACCCCAAAAGGAAACAAGATAATTGGAAATTCAACCAATGCACAGAACTTCAACTCTGTAAAGATTTTATTGATGTACAGAAAAGTACACAAATCACAATTGTACATGCCGATGACTTTTCAGTGACTGTTCTTATAAAACTACCACCCAGATCAAAAATCTAACACTGCCAGAAGATCAAAGGCTCTTTTATGCACTTACAGGATTTTATAAAATATGGATCATAAAGTATGTATACATTAAGGCTCCTTTGTTTGTATGATGTTTGAAAAATTCACTCATGTTTTTATACATGACAACAGATGATGCCTTCTCATTGCTGAACAGCATTCTAAAATACTCATACACCACAACTTATTCACTGTGATATTGTGAATAATGGTGCAACTTTAAAAATTCATGTATGTCTTTTTATAAATATTTGCACTTCCTCTAGGTATATCCTTAAGAGAGGAATTTATGTTTGGTATGTAACATGGAGTAGAATTCCTGAAGGAGGGAATATGTATAAGTTCAGCTTTTCGTGATACTACCAAACAGATATAAAATGGTTAAACCAATTTACTTTCACTAGTAGTGAATGAAATGCTACCACTCCCCATCCATGCCAACATGCATTTCCCTTTTTTCATTTTAGCCATTGTGGTGAATGAATAGTAGTATTGTGTTGTGGTTTTCATATGCATTTCCCTAAAAACCAGTAGAGGTGAACCCACTTTCATATGAATATTGGCCAAGGGATAGCATCTTCTATCGAATACTTTTTCAAGTCTCTTGTCCATTTTTATTGAATTACCTGCCTGCTTGTGCTCTTTTTCTCTCTCATACAAAAAAATAAAATCTTTTTTAAAAAATTAAAGCTACATTGTTGAGGGCATGCCCATGTATAATTGTTTCATCTACCTCACTGCTGTCACTATAAATGATCTCTTCACAACAACTAATGCCTCTTGCTTTGAGAATACTAATTTAAAATTACTATACTTATACCACCTTTTCTTCTGGCTAGCTTTCACATAGTAGAACTTTTCCTACCCTTTGACTTTCAACCTTTTCATGTCATCATATTTAAGGAGTGCCTCTTGCAAGTAACATACTAGATTGTCTGCTTAATCTGACAATCATTATTTATATGTTAGATAATTACTGTCATATAGTGGGCAGCAATTCTCCATGTAGCTCATGTTTCTGCATATCTAGCAAGCAGAATCACTGACTGATCTTTGTCCTATCTCTTCAAAGATATTTGCACAGTGAACAAATAGCCTTGGGTAATAGAGATAGTGTTCTCAATAACAGAAGGCAAGTTTGCTTATAGTTCTAGAAAACAGAGATTATGTTCCTCCTGGAACTGAGAGAAGATACATTTACTGTCAAGTACAGTAAAGATAATGTCTTCTTCTGGATCAAAAGATAAGCATGATTACTGTCTATTATAAGATTTATGTTCCTCCAGAGTTGTCCCCACATTCACTAACTAACTGGTTTACACTGTGCCCTGGACTCCCAGATTTCGATGGATCCACCCTTCCCAGCCACATTTGCCTCTGTCCCAGTGTCTGCAGAAGTCTTCTCCCAGAACACTGGTGCAAACCTTGCCAACACCATACCTCCCAACTCACATGTTTTAAGGGCCTCAGTCCCAGCAGCAGCAGGAGTGGGCCCTGTGGAAGCCCAAGGTATACCTTGTTAAAACTGTGTGCCCCACCCCAGCTGGGGACTTAACACTGCCCACAACAGGTAAAGAGAGCCTCTTCAGTTGGATGGACTGAAGGAAAAAGCAGCCGGGACACAAGAGCTGGGCATAAGCAACACACACCGTAGACACCCCTGAAGTGCCAGCTTCTGGTGAACAGAAGACTCTGCACTGCAGAGCACTACAGGACTTCTTCTTCATAAGGAGACATAGCTCCCTAACAGAGAGAAATAGACACAGAGGGTTAGACAAAATGAGGAGACAGAGGAATATGTCCCAAATGACATAACAGGACAAAACAAAACCACAGCAAGAGATCTAAGTGAAACAGATATAGGTAGTATGCCTGATAGAGAAGTCAAAGTAGTGATCATAAAGATACTCACTGGACTTGAGAAAAGAGTGGAGAATATCAATGAGACCCTTAACAAAGAGATAGAAAACACAAAAAAGATTAAGATTTTCTCTCTCTCTCCCTCTGCCCCCTCCCCACCTCTCTCTCTCAAAAAAAAAAAAAAAGCATCTATATGTTGCCTACAAGAGATACATTTCAGACACATTTAAAGATGCTCACCATCACTCACCATCAAGGAAATGTAAATTAAAACCACAACCAGATATCACCTCATACCTATCAGAATGGCTAGAATCAAAACAAGTGCTGACAAAGACGTGGAGGAAAAGGAACCCTTGTACACTGTTGGTGGGAATGCAAACTGATACAACCACCATGGAAAACAGTAGGGAAGTCCTCAAAAAATTAAAAATAGAATTATTTTATGATCAAGTAATTTCTCTACCAGGAATATTTCCAAAGAATACAAAAGCACTAATTTGGAGGGATATATGCCTCCCTATGTTTACTGCAGCATTATTTACAAAGCCAAATTATAGAAGCAGTCAAAGTGTCCACTAATAGATGGACGAATGGATAAAGACAATGTGGAATACATATACAATGGAATAAAAGAATGCAGTCTTGCCATTCACAACAGTATGGATGGTCCTAGAGGTTATAATCCTGAGCAAAATAAGTCATTCAGAGAAAACAAATACCGAATGATCCACTTATATGTGGAATTTAAGAAAAAAAAATTAAAAAAAAAAAAGAGGGGGACAAACAAAAAGCCAGACTCTAAATACAGATGACAAGCTGGTGGTTGCCACAGGGAAGGTGGGTGGGGGAGTAGCTAAAATAAAGAAGATTAAGAGTACACTCATTGTGATGAGCACTGATGAGCACTGAGTGATATATAGTAATATATAGCATTGAAAAATAATAAAATGAAATAAGATAAATGAAACTTCAGCAAATGACATTACTCTTACTTTATGCGTATTTCAAATATTTCATAAAAACATATAAGAAAATTTTATATAAAAACTTCAAAATGAGTATAATGAGCAAAAAGGTCTACCTGCAATTTTAGTTGCTATAGAGCGTGTTAACGAAAACTGATTTTCTATATACAAAGGCAAATATTCAGAAGCTCCAATAAAAACAAAAGATCCTGCAGCTTTAGTCAGAGCTAGGCATATTAATATTGGATTCTTCAACAGAACCTAAAATAGAAATGTTATACACAAATTATTTCATTTTGTTAGGTAAAGAAAAATAGATTTATTCACTCACATGTTAATGACCAATCAGCAAAAATTTTACCTTTCCGAATCTAAACTGAACATATATATAAATCAAAATCTGCAGTTCACCAATATATAATATATAATAATATACTATTAAAGACATGTAGTATTTGAACAATTTTTATTCATTTGACCTCCATGCCACCTATAATTTTTATTTGAGATTCTGGCAGTTTTCTACAAAAATAAGGAAATTTCTACAAAAATTAAGGAAAAATAGATATCATTAACCAGGTGTCTAGAACGTTCCTTTACCTTAGTTAATCTATTTCTTTCCTTAAGAAATCTTTTCACCGGGACACCTGGGTGGCTCAGTTGGTTAAGCGGCTGCCTTCGGCTCAGGTCATGATCCCAGCGTCCTGGGATCAAGTCCCACATCGGGCTCCTTGCTCAGTGGGGAGCCTGCTTCTCCCTCTGCCTCTGCCTGCCTCTCTGTCTGCCTGTGCTTGCTCACTCTCTCTCCCTCTGTCTCTGAAAAATAAATAAAATCTTTAAAAAAAAAAAAAAAAAAAAGAAATCTTTTCACCTAACTAAAAAACAAAATGAAGATAATTTAAGCCACACACAAGGAAAATTACTAGTATTACTATTAAGATTCTATACCATTTTACTCCTGGGTATTCCACATACAGTGAAGTCACGTAAATTCTGCATTTGTTTTTAAAGATTTTATTTATTTATTTGGCAGATCACAAGTAGGCAGAGAAGCAGGCAGAGAGAGAGGAGGAAGCAGGCTCCCTGCTGAGCAGAGAGCCTGATGCGGGGCTCGATTCCAGGACCCTGAGATCATGACCCGAGCCTAAGGCAGAGGCTTTAACCCACTGAGCCACCCAGGCGCCCAAATTCTGCATTTTTTGAACTTACTCAGAAGCCTCAGGAGGATGTATAGTACTATTATACTATACATAGTAATTAACATGATAATAACATTAAAATATAAACTTTCAAACTGATTTCTATATTTCTTATATATGCTTATCTTTGAAAAATTTCAGTGGCATTTTGTTTATATATTGTTAAATTAACTTAATTTTTTTTTCTAGTCATAAACACCATTTTAAAAAATCTAAACATATTCTAAGTATTAATCTAATTCATCTTCTGAGTGCTATCTAAATTTACATACTGTCATCCTACCATATTCATCTACTCCCACAAGTTAGGCTCACTTCAACTCCCACTGTCACAAACAAGACTATATTAAATGTGCCTGTGCGTGCACACTTAAGGACTAGGGTAGAATGTCTTTGGAAGTATATATCCCAGAACAGGATTGCATGGGCATTAAGATGTACTATACACTTCATTCCATTATTTCTTTAAATGTTTACCCCAAAATGTATCACTTTATAATCCCACCATAATGTAGCAGAGTTTTCCTTTTTCTTCATGTAGCAACTTATAAAATTCACCACAGCAATATTTTCAGTTCCACATACCCTTCCAGAACTTTGCCATTCTCCCATCAGGAGGCATTGAACTGGGAAAGTCCTTATTGACTGTCTCAACAAAGAGATGCTGCATGACTTCTGAGGTTGGATCATAAAATGACAATAGGACTTCTGCTGTATATGCTCACTCTCTCAGGACTCTGGCTTTGGGACTCTTTCACCATGTTGTGAGAAAGTCAAGGCCAGATGGAGAGGCCATGTGTGGGTGTTCCAGCAAACAGCCAGTATCGATAGCTCACCGTTAAGTAAACAAGCCATCAGAAGATTTTATCCCCCAGACTTCACTTTAATTGACAAGTAGAGCTGAGTGGAGTAAGCCCTGACAAAGCTGCAGATGAATGAGCAAAATCATGTTCTATTATTTAAGCCACTAAGTTTTGGGGTGGTTTGTCATGTAGCAATAGATAAGTAGTACACCCCACATAATCACAAACACTTGGTATTATCAGCAGGCTTTTAAAATTTTACCACGCTGATGGATATAAAGTCATACCACAATGCTTTTGTATGGTACTTTCCTAAATTCAAATCCAACTGAGCATTTCTTCATGTAATTCATAGCTATTTAGACTTGGTTATTGTGTGTGAACAGCTTATTCATATTTTTATTAGGCTTCCTGAAGTTTTTGTATAGATCTTCCAGGAATTCCTTATTTATTCTAAATACTAATCTCTTGTTAGACTGAGAGATGTTACTCATCTTTTTTTTTTTTTTTAAGATTTTACTTATTTATTTAACAGACAGAAATCACAAGTAGGCAGAGAGGCAGGCAGAGAGAGGGGGCGGTAAGCAGACTCCCTCCTGAGCAGAGAGTCCGATGCGGGGCTCGATCCCAGGACCCTGAGATCATGACCTGAGCCGAAGGCAGAGGCTGAACCCACTGAGCCACCCAGGCGCCCGTTACCCATCTTTTAACGTTGTCTGCAGTTTCCTTCATAGAACAGAAATCTTTGTCATAACTTTAATCCACTAATTTTTACTTTGTATTTTACACTATTGCAACCTTGCTTAACCTTTCCTACCTCTATGTCACAAGATACTTCTTTCATGGTTTAGCATTAACTGTGCTGTTCTTTTTTTTTTTTTTTCCTAGTCTCATTTTATTAACCTCTAAATCACCTTTGCGTATCATACGAGGTAGTGGTCCGACTTCATTTCACCATACAGAGAATCAAATTTATCATCACATTTACTGAACTATATCGTTGTAGTGCCTCCCTTATCAGATAGCAAGTTTTTATATATATTAATCTGTTGCTGAGTTCTGTCTTCTGTTTCACTGGTCTATACCATGATTTTATAGGAAACGGCAATCTGTATTAGGTATAACAGGTAGAATAAGGAACAGAAAACCTCGCTTTTATCTTGGCTCTGCAACTGATTTTTGGAACAACAATTAGCAAATCACATCTCTCTATATCCCATTTTTAGGGAGTATTATATAATAGTAGATGCAGGAATGGTGTTAGAGTCAGGTACATGAGATATTTTTATATTGTTAATCTCGGTTCAGCTACCTGTATATGTGTGTGTGTGTGTGTGAGTGTATCCAAAGATATATATGCCTTTGGAAAAATTACTCATCCTCTTTAAATTATTGCTTCATGATCTATAAACTAGAAATAATAATATATATATCTCCAGGTGATCATGAAAATGGAATATATGTAATAATTTAATTTCTGGCAGCTAGAAGTTACCCAGGAAAGAATACACATCATTTTCATAATTTATAAAATAAGAGGATCACACTAGACTATGAGATTTGTTGTTTACAAACTATAGTGTGCTTTGAATCATTGGGATGGTGTAAAACACAGATTACCAGGTCCTACTTTCAGAGTTTCTGATTCAGTAGGTTTGGAGCACAGCCCAAGAATTTGCAGTTTTAGCAGATTCCTAGGCAATGATGATGATGGTGGTGGCCTGGGAGCCACACTAAGAACCACTGCACTAGATAATTTTTGTGTTTGAACTTTTTAGAATTAAAATGAACAGACTCCTAGGTTAATCCAGTTGATGAGACTTACTATAATGTTACACAGTAAAGTGACAAAGCCAAAAACACTGAGTAGCTGAATAATTCAGCACTCCTAAAGAAACAGATTATTCAGAAGCAAATGGCAGTTTATCTGGTCTGCTCTCTAGTGGGCATTCCATTGTTTTGTCTTAATTGCTACAAAGACCCAGATATTCAGCTTCTTTCCGTCAGCTGATTGTGCTTATATCTACTTCTATTACAGCTACTCACTGTATTGTCTCTCCATTTGCTTCTCTATCTCAATGGCCTTTGCACATTCATTTTTTCTATGTCAGTTTATTAGAGCTGTGTCGTGTAAGTTTCCTGGCCTTTCTCCTACGTATACTCTCCCAAGAAATAGAACGTTAACTAGTCGGTTTATAGCAGGTCTCCCTATTGGATATTTTTCTCAAGCTATTTAATAGGTTTTCTAGAAATCTAAGGATTGCTATCTTAGGTTTAAGTACTGATCCCAGACCTAGTTTTAAACTAGGACATTTGAACTACATCATATAGAGCATGGCAACTCTGCACAAGGAAACACTTCTGGGCCCTTTATTCAGAAAGGGCTATGGGCACTTAGAAAGACACTGTGAGCATAGCAAACACTCAGACTACAACAGACCCTTCCGAAAAACTATCTAGGCTTTCCTCTTTTTAAAAAAATCTATTTTGGGTGGGCGGGGGGGGGGGGCACCTGGGTAGCTCAGTGTTAGGTTAAGCCTCTATCTTTGGCTCAGGTCATGATCTCAGGGTCCTGGGATCAAGCCCCACATCAGGCTCTCTACTCAGTAGGGAGCCTGCTTCCCCATCTCTCTCTCTCTCTGTCTGCCTCTCTGCCTACTTATGATCTCTGTCTTTCAAATAAATAAATAAAATCTTTTTTAAAAAATCTATTTTTTTCGTACATATAAATATGGGAGGCAAAGAAAAAGGCCAGACATAAAATCAGTATTCAAGGGATTTTATGTAATAAAATCAGGCTTAATGTACTGAAAAAGAAAAGAAGAAATCAAATCTGCATAGTAGCAGATAATTCCTGCAATAGCCATTTCTTATAGCACTGTGGGTCTCAGCCCTACTCCATCATGGTTTTATCTAAAACCATGGTCTTTACCACACCAGAGGAGGTTCATGCTGGTCTGGGATGCATGCTTTCAAATGGTAACCAGCCAAAATAGTACTCCTGCATGTACTTACTCAGTAAGAGTAGGAAACAAGGACAGGATCAGCAAAATATAATGTAAATGGTATAGTAGACAAAGACAAGTAGACTGAGATACAGGAAAGGGTTCAAGTAGCAGTGGGAAACAAATGTTAACGAGGAAACTGAGGCAGAGGAATGCTGCAGGAAGGAAAGAGCTCCTAAAGACCCAACCAAGGTTCATTGAAGATGTGGTATGCAGTGTCCCAATCAATTACGGAACTTCTTCTTTCAGGTGAT